CAGTGTAGCTCCATGTGGCTTGTCAGCAGGAATGTCTTGCAGGGAGAGTCTATGTGTCCTGTCCGCAGTGAGCTATTCACCTCTGTAGCACCTCCAAGTGAGGTCATCAAGCTGCGACCTGATTGACAGGCTAAACTCCACTCTTCACTCTCAGCCGTCTCAAGTGGACACCAGATGACGTCACTACCACAGGATTTAATACATGCCGCATATCATTCCATATTTCAGTCCATCAAGGAGAATTGTGTGGTTGCTGCCACAGTCAGCTTCCGAGCATTCTCTCTCTACATGGACTCCTTGACATCGTCTCCCTTTTCCCGTTACCCCCCACCTCCACCACTGTATCCCCCTTCCCCCAAACCCCATTATGCTACTTGCTGCCCTTATAGGTTAATCAATCCTGGGTTTCACAGACTGAAAAACAGAAGGTTCAGCATCATTACTAACACTCTTTCTCTCTGGACATACACCACACTGACCGGCGAACAAAACCGCACGTTCTCCCTAAGGAAACAACTTGCTCTGTGTAAACACAACCCAAGTATACACCCTGAACTCATCCGCGACCCTCCGTGATGCTCTGTGTTGACGTACACTTTGTCACATTTAATGCACAGCGCTCGAGCCGCTGGTTCGACACCTGGTAAGGGTCGCTTGGGTCAGTCATTATGTCTATCTGTCCACTTGATGTCCACTTTAAATTTTTTTTAAGTGTTTTGGTTGCTGTTGTTGATTAAGAACTGTTGGACTCTGCTTGTATTTATCGCTGAAGTAATACCTTCACGGACAAAACCGACGTACGGGATTAACACTCAGTGTACACTGGTGCCAAGTTGGCACACCTCTGTAAAGACAGACAGGCATACCACACAGGGAACTTCAAGATTTAGGAGGCTTAACAGAAAGTGAATTTGGGTATAGCTTTGCCTCGTGAAATGGATAAAAGTTAGCATTGACCAATAGGAGGTCCACGTACACGGTTTCTGTCATTTTCCTTGAGGAAATTGAGGACCCGAAACCCAGTGTTAGCAGGACCCCTTTTTACCTTCCAGTGTTTTCACGGAAGATTCTGTAGCAGCATTGCGATCAAAGGCGGGGTGAGCTACAAAACAGAATTTCACATTCTCCTGGGACCAGGCTTCCTGGAGCCATGGACAGAGGAAACCACACAGTTATTGACCCAACCGACCCTCACGCCGAATCAGCCCCCCAGGTTCTCTAAACCAAGCCGCAGTGGAGCGAAATTCATGCAGAATGGCAGCCTGGAGCACGGTGGGCTTTCAAAGGACAGACAGGCAGGCTACCCGGTTTCTATGCAAGGGAGCAGAACTGCTCCGAAAAGGGGGCCCCCACGTAGTTGCACAACCAGAAGAATGCATCCTGTGTCCCTGGATTTTGCTGGGTTAGGTTTCCAACAACGATATAACCCCAAAAGTGCCCTGGTTTGGTTGATGAAAATCCAAGGCCACCTACGAGGAAGTTCACATCTCACGTCTGCTGACTCACCGTGTGGACCTCGAGCACGTTGCTTTTCCCCGCAGCCTCAGTTTACCCAACTAGAAAACAGATGAGAACCCTTTCTCTCTATGCAGCTCCATCGTGCCCTGAAACTTTTTAAAAAAATTATTATCATAAAGTCCTTGTGTGATCATTCTAGGAGTCAGGTCATCTGTAAGGCATCCACGAGCCCTAGGGGCACGTTCGTGTGCATGCAAACCATGAAGAGACTGCTCCATCACACACGTGTGATCATGTGGGCAGCAGCATGTCTGGGGCTCAAAGCCACGAGCCCCTCTGCAGGGGCTTCTCCTCCCGGAAAGAGCCTCCGAAGCCCATAGGGGCAGTTCTACCTGTCCTGTTGGGTTGCTCTGAGTCGACTTGGACCCAGCGGCAGTGAGTGTTGCGTTTATAAGGAGTCTTGGTGACAGGGTAGGATAAACATTGGGTCACTCCCAAGGTCGGCAGGTGGTTCAAATCCACCCACCGCCACTGGCCACTCCGTGGGGAAAAGATGCGCCTATCTGCCCCCGCAAAGGTTGACAGCCGCCGACGCCCCACAGAAGGCTGTCCCGAGCGAGTCCGGGTCGGCCCTGCGGCGGTGAGTTTGGTCCGAGAGGCCATCTGTAGGTCTGCCTCTATTGATGGAGCCTTCTCGGGACAAGAGTCCTGGTCCCTTGCTGTCTCACACGCTTGGCGGTTTTCACTGGTTGCCAATCACGGTATCTGTGGGAAAGAAAACAAAAAAAGAACCGTGAAAACCGAACGCACGTTTTGAGACGTGTGTCTACGTAACGTTCCTGTCTCCACTCAAAGAGGAGGACGCACTGTTTGAACGAGAAACCCGAGGAGCCTTGTCACCGGTCAGCGCTTGGCGGCCCTCAGTGCTGAGCCCACCCAGCACTTCCACGAGGCCCCCAAACTGCAAAGATTTCAGCTGGGAGCATCCCTCCGCAGAGCAGCTGGGCTTTGTTACAAGGGGCAAGGGGTGGGGTGGGGTGGGGGCTGGTGGGAGTCAGGTCAGCTCTAAAGCAGCAGAGTGGGAGGTCCCTGAGTCTCATCAGTCAGGAGCAGAGAGCTGGATGGGGACAGACTTCACTCCCTCTCCCTTCCTCTTGCATTTCTGAATCTGCCTATCTGTCCGCCGTCCGTCCTTCTGTCTGTCTCTGGCTGCTTCCTTTTTCCCATCCCCTTGAACTGAATGGGCCTTTCGACTAACCCCATCTCCCTCTCCCTCTCCCTCACCTCGGCAGCTGCTGGCGGAGGAGAAGGCCGCCGTGCTCCGGGCTGTGGAGGAGCGGGAGCGGGTGGAGGCTGAGGGCCGGGAGCGTGAGGCCCGGGCCCTGGCCCAGACACAGGCCCTGGCAGAAGAGCAGGAGGCCCGGGAGGAGGTGGAGCGGCAGAACCGGGCCCTGCGGGCGGAGATGGAGGCCCTGCTGAGCAGCAAGGATGACGTCGGCAAGAGCGTGAGTAGAGGGTCAGGCGCCCCGCTGGCCAGCGGCCCACCCATGGGTGCCCCGTGAGTCACAGCCTTGAGCAGCGCCCCCCCAAGGGTGTGTGTTCTGTTCTGCACACGTTGAGGTCTCCCTGCGCCCGAATCCCATACACCAGCAGCAAGAACATGAGTGTGAGTGGGGACACCAGTCCCCAGGACACACAGGTGAGTGCCCACGTGCCTGTCCGGACAGGATGCCAAGAGACACGTGAACACACGTGCATGCTCACACACACAGCAGTAAGAGCACCGTCCATCAAAGTTGTGTGTACACACACACACATGGACCAAGAAGGAATCTGCACCCCAACCACATGCACAGAGCATGAGTAGAATGTTCCCTTAGACCCGTGCATGTTCACGTGGACGCAGCACACGGGAGCCGCTCCCCAGACCCGTGTGCTCACGTGCATGTGCGCCGTGTGAAGAGAATTCTCGCCAAGGCCCATATCTTCATGTTGGCGGAGCATAGGTGACCCGCTCCCCAGACACGTTCGTGTGCATGCTAACCATGAAGAGACTGCTCCATCACACACGTGTGATCCTGCGGGCAGCAGCATGTCTAAGGCTTGGATTTACTCCTCCCTGAAAGGCCGGGGAGCCCCCAGGCTTCGGACAAAGCGGAAGTGAGTGGTTGTGGCTTGGTGCTCTCTGTGGGGTCCGGCACAGGCCCGCGGTCCTCAGTCTGGGAGCTCTGTGCGCCTCAGCCAGCTTCACACATGATTCCTGAACAAGCCCCAGGGATGTAAGCTCACAGTGCCCCGCTTACAAAGCCCGCTCCCCAATACTACGACGGACCCCCGGGCACGACATCGGGAGGTGGGATGAATTTTTGAATGCCCAGCCGACCATCTGCTCTGTAGAGGTTCCTGAGTCACAACAGAAAGTTCTGTGAAATTGACCAAGGTCCACGTGGAGAGGGCCCATGTGTGGCCACCCTCACAGACCCCAGAACTGGGGTCTCAACAGACAAGTGGACGGCGCCTTTCCCCCACCCCCATCAGCAGAGGAGCCTGGCTGGGGGGCCCTGGGTGACTGGTAGGGGGTGGGGCAGGCTAGTACCCCATGGGGTAGGGTGGGCCCCCGTGTGCTCAGTCTCATTGCTCCCCGCCAGGTGCATGAGCTGGAGCGAGCCCGCCGGGTGGCCGAACAGGCAGCCAGCGACCTGCGGACCCAGGTGACGGAGCTGGAGGACGAGCTGACAGCAGCCGAGGACGCCAAGCTGCGCCTGGAGGTGACCGTGCAGGCCCTCAAGGCCCAGCATGAGCGAGACCTGCAGGGCCGAGACGAGGCCGGTGAAGAGAGACGCCGGCAGCTGGCCAAGCAGGTATTGGGGAGGGGTCCCCAGAGCCCAGACCCAGCTGGGGAAGGGGCCCGATGTCCCAGCCCCTTCCCCACTCAATAGACTTGGCCCCAAAGACCCTCCTGCCAACCAGCCATCTTCCCCCACAAAGCCGCCTCCCCGTCCTCCATCCATGTCCGCGCTGCACCTCCCCTGTGCACTATGCATCCCAGCCTCCGTTCACCTCTCCACTGACCCTGTCCTGCATTATCCAGCCTCCCTGCCCCGTCCAGCTGCCTGTGCACAGCCTCGCCCCCATAGTGCCCCGCCCTCCCAGGCACCAATACACCATTCCAACCACCCAGCCACCGGGTGTCTCTGCACAGCCACACCAAAGCCACCAGCCTTCTCCCTGCGCCCCGCCTGCCCCCCAGCAGCGGCCCAGCTAGCTCCTGACAGCCTCTGCTCACGCTCACGCTCATGTAGGGACCAGCTGCCCTGCCCTGCCCCGTCCCTCCCCTACCACAGCTTCCTCACCCTCACTCCACTGGGTGTGGCGTCCTGTGTCCCCCAGGGGATTCATCTGGGTCAGCTCTGAGGGTCAGGAAGACTCCGAGGAGTCTGGTGGGCAGCAGGTGGACAGGACCCAGTGAGGCTGGGGGCCAGGAGGCTGGGGAGGGGCCCTGGTGCTCTTCAGCTCCGCTGTCCCAGGTCACAGCCCCGATGCGTGCCCGTGGCATTGTCCTGGCACGCTGGGGGCTGCAGAAAGCTCAAGGGCCCCCCGGCAGCTGTGTGAGGATAGGCTGGAAGGGGGTGCCAGGGCAAGGGCCTGGAGAGGTGAGGTGGGGGCTTGAGCTGGGGCCTGCGGGGTGGACTGCTATGCCCTTAGCATGCAGAGGACCCAGGGGCCCTGGGCTCCCTGGGTTACGCGTTGGGCTAACGCTAACGGTAAGGCTAGCCTGCCGCGGCTCCTTGCTCCGGTGGGGAGGCGCAGTCTGAGATCCCCCAGGGGCAGTTCTATGCCGCCCCATCGGGACGCCGTCAACTCGATGGCACTGGGTTGGGGTTTCTTTGGGGGAGCTTGTAGAGGTCGCCTGGGCGCCCTGTCCCCTGACCCGGCCCCTCCTGTGCCCCAGCTGAGGGACGCCGAGCTGGAGCGGGATGAGGAGCGCAAGCAGAGGGCGATGGCGGTGGCCGCCCGCAAGAAGCTGGAAGCGGAGCTGGAGGAACTGAAGGCTCAGACGGCGGCCGCGGGGCAGGGCAGGGAGGAGGCCGGGAAGCAGCTTCGCAAGATGCAGGTGAGGGCTCCGCCCCGCCCGCCCCGCCCCTGCCCATCCCGATTGGGCAACCACCTGTGTGAGCGCCCGTGCCGTGGGGGCTTCCCCGTAATGAGGCCGCTTGTTGGTGCCGTCGAGTTGGCCCCGACTCACGGCGGCCCCGCGTGCAAGGGAACGAATCACTGCCCGGCCTTGCTCCGCCCGCACCGTCGGTTGCAGCCTCTGCCTCCATCCATCTCCTCCCCCAGGGCCGCGCCGCCTCTACCTGGCATGCTGTCCTTCTGCAGGGACCCGTCTCTCCTCTCTAGGCAACAGGCCCAACGTCTATGAGGCCACGCGTGCCGTTCTTGCTTTCAGGGGGGTCGCTCTGGGCACACCTCGTCCAAGATAGATTTGTCTGCCCTTCCGGCAGCCCCGGGCGCTTTCCGTGTGGGCACGTAAAGCAGCACACGGTGCTGGGTGCACTGCGACCGAGCAACCCCGGTTTGGCAAGACCCCTCCGGCCGGCCCAGGCAGAAACACTGCCAGCCTCCCCCGCCCCGCACAAAGGGAAAACAGATGCCCGGCAAATACTAACTAGAGCAGTTCCATCGACAACAGCCAGGGACGAAGCAGCTAAGCCGGCTGGCTGTGGGCCTGTGCCTCGCCCTCGCTGCCTCAGTTTCCCCATCTGTAAGCCAGGATTGATCAATGTCCCCACCCCCAGGGTTGTGAGTCTAAAGGGAGCAAATTGGGAGCCGGTGCATGTAGAGGGGAGGGGTCTACGGGAAGTTTGCGGTGAGATGGAAATGAAAAGGTATGAGAATTTGCACTGCCAACTTTTTGAGGCCCCACCCCCACCCCCACTTGCCCTCAGAGAATAGGGCTCAGCTAGGACCTGCCCAGGTGACTTGGACCTTGGTGCCTGGCTCTGCAAGGCAGGTGCAACCGTTGAGATGGGGTGGGGGTGTGGGGGACACCTCCCAGCGAGGCAAGCCTGGCTGAGCCCGCCCCCCACCCCCAGGCCCAGATGAAGGAACTGTGGCGGGAGGTGGAGGATTACCGCACCTCTCGGGAGGAGATCTTTGCCCAGAACAAGGAAAGCGAAAAGCGCCTCAAGGGGCTGGAGGCCGAGGTGCTGAGGCTGCAGGAGGTGAGATGGGGCCGGTGGGCGGGGCCTCAGGCGTGGGCGGGGCCCACCGCAGACTGCCTCCAATGCCAGCCAGCAGGCGGGACCACCTGCGTGCTGCTTCAAATAGCAGCCAAGGGATGGGGCCAAGGGACTTCCAGAAACCACCTCATGGGATGGGTGGTAGGTGGGTCCAACCACACTACCTAGGTGCCAGCTGGGGGCGTGGCTAAACACTTTGGCCTCAAAGACAGTCCAAGGGGTGGGAATTTTGTCCTGGGAGGCACCCCCCCTCCGTGGATCCATGAGGGCTGTGAGCCAGGCTGGGAGGGGCAGAGGCCGCCCCCACGCCCAGCTCTGGGCATTGGGCCATCTAAAGGCCCTGATGAGCATGAGGGGACTGGGCTGGGCGGCAGGAGCTGGACACAGTTGGGCCAGGAGCTCAGGGGACAGAGTTTGAAGATGACCTTCAGGACCTGTGTTAGCACAGGAACAAGGCCACAGCATGCTGTGGAAAAGGACCTGTGTTAGCACAGGAACAAGGCCACAGCATGCTGTGGAAAAGGCCGAGAGAACTGGGGCAGGGGCAGGGAGGGAGTGAGAATGGCACCTGGCCATTGACCGCCCATTTCCACCCCATTACAGGAACTCGCTGCTTCAGACCGTGCCCGGCGTCATGCCCAGCAGGAGCGGGACGAGATGGCGGATGAGGTGGCCAGCGGCAACCTAAGCAAGTGAGTGGCCTACGGTAGGCTAGGGCAGGGCACTGCCTGCTGGACCCCCTGCCTCACCTCACCCCTCCCCCTCCCCTAGGGCAGCGCTTCTGGAGGAGAAGCGGCAGCTGGAGGTGCGCCTGGGGCAGATGGAGGAGGAGCTGGATGAGGAGCAGAGCAACGCAGAGCTGGTCAACGACCGCTACCACAAGCTGCTCCTGCAGGTGAGCCCACCTGCCGCCCCAGCCACCCTGGCTGGGAACCCACCCCTCCCCCCACTCACCCGAAACCACAGCCCCTTATCCAACAGCCTTCGGAAAGGAGGGGATATTTGAGTTGGGTTTTGAAGGTTGAATAGGAGTCTGCAAAAGGTATCAAGAAAGGCACAATTCACTCACTCACTCGTCTTTCTGGCTTTTCTCAAGGTCTGGATCCGGAGATGAAGTACGTGGGGTCTTTACAGAGAATTATGACTCACACACACACACACACACACACACACCTGCCCCCCACCCACCCCCCATCCTGACGACAGGGAATTCCCTAGGGAAGTCAGACATGGGACCATTAGGGGGCCCCATGTGTGCTGAGGAGAACCGCTCCACGTGTGGTCATGGAAGCGACCTGGACCCAGAAGAGAGAGGGGTGGAGGGCACCCATCTATTAAGTTCTCACAAAGATAAACCGAGGCCAAGCCAGAGAGAAAGAAAAGCGGAAGTGTATTCTGGGCTTCCCTGGAGAGATTCACGGAGTCTAACAGGGAGTCAGAGAACCTGAGCTTCCCCGGAGGGAGAGGAGAGAAGGGAAAGGGAGAGAAAGAAACGGGAGCGAGCCTTGAACTCCTGGGTGGACTCCACGGCCCCCACTGGGGACACCCGAGAAGAAGTCGTGCTCATCTGTGGTGGAGATTGAGTTTTAAACTGGTCAGGAGGGGAGGAGGGAAAGCAATACAGGAGGGGTAGAAACCGCAGGTGGGCAAATAGGAAGGGGAGAGGGTTTGCAGCTGTGGGGGCTCTAATGGGTCTCCTTCCATAAAACTTCTGAGGCCAGGGTGGTGCTTTGATTGTTGCTTTTGGTGCTGAGGCAGATGGCTCACTGATCTGCGGCCCCCTGGAATTATCCGCCTTGGTCCAATAGGGGTAGGCAGGCTTTTCCTAATGTCCTCCGACCGGTACCTGACCCAACACCGTCTAGAGGGAAGAGGACGGGGTCTTTCCAGAGGAGGCCAAAAGAGCATTTGGAAGAGGGAAGATGTGCCTGGGATTTTAGCTCAGCAGACAGGCAAAAGCACTTTCGGGGCTGCAGTTCCACCCTTACACTTGTTGGCAAGGGCATCGCCATTTGCCCCATCTTGTCATCTGCGGGAATATTGTGGGAGGAAGGGTGGGAGGAAGGGACCACTGGGAGACTTGACCTCTGCCTTTTGGGGACACATGAAACCCTGCCTTTGGTGACTTTCCACGCGCCACCTTGTGACTTCCTTCTGCCCCGTGTGCCGGTGAGGCCGGGATGGTCGGAAGTCTGAATCAGCCTGGGGCTGACTCACTTCCCTGCCGTGGCCCCAGCAAGCACTCGGGCTGTGGCAGTTCTGGAAGCTGGGAGAAGCAGCAGGGACTCTTAGAAGAAGGCCTTTGTTTACACATTCACCTTGTAGCATCCAAGTGCTTGCCCATGCTCCCATACCACCCTTATTGGGACCCCCTGGGCCTGGTGGAAAGGCAGTTCCTGCCCCCCCCCCCCCACACACACACAGCGTCCTGCCTCCCCCCTCCCCCCCAGACTTGCTGAGGGAGGGAGGGGCCCTGGCATCCTCTGCATTCTTGTCACAAGCACCCCAGGTGATCCTGGTGCAAACAAAAGTGTGAGAACTGTTGGAATAGGCTCATTCACAGTCAGAGGTAGAGGTAGAATTTATAGCCTGGAGACAAGTCTGTGAGCATCTTGTGAATGTATTAAAATAGCCCACAGAGCATCAGCCGTAGGGTTAAAAGGCGGGGCCATCAGGGCTACGGGCAGCTAGATCAAAGAAAAGTTAGTGGGGGCACTGAATCTTCCATGCCTAGCGCTCCCTTACCTCTGCGTTCCATGGCCCTGGACCCACTCCATCCTGGGAGGGAAGCACCTGGGTGTTAAGACCACCCTGTTGGAGCTCCAGAGCACAGCCTGCCTTTCCCTCTGCCCACAGGTGGAGTCCCTGACCACGGAGCTGTCAGGGGAGCGCAGCTTCTCTGCCAAGGCCGAGAGTGCTCGGCAGCAGCTGGAACGCCAGATCCAGGAGCTCCGGGGGCGCCTTGGCGAGGAGGACGCTGGGGCCCGAGCTCGCCAGAAGATGACCATCGCTGCCCTGGAGTCTAAGCTGGCCCAGGCTGAGGAGCAGCTGGAGCAAGAGACCAGGTGGGCAGACAGGAGCTGTGTCACCTGCACCTGGCTTGGAAACGCCAGAAAGGCATTCGAGAGGGCGATGTCTGCAGATGTCCCCTTATCATTTGAGAGTGTGGAAGCTCTGCCTTCTCCATTGTGCCACATAGGGGAGACGACGGGGTCAGGAACAGCCCAAGACATGGGTCGGGTTCGTTCAGCACATCATCTTTTAAGCAAGTGTAGTACCTTTGGGCGGCAAGTAAGTGGCCCACCACAGAGTGTGACAGAAACAAGTGTGTCAGGGAGCTGCAGCTGCCTAAGAAGCCATTCTAAAACGTATACCGCCCCAAAAATTAAAAATTAAAAAAAATAAATCAAACGTACACAGCTACTCTTCTCTACTGCTCATGAGGCCCCGAGTTGGCCAGCAGAGTCTGCTGCTCAGAGATGGATGAGGCTCACCTAGGTATCTTTGGTTAGCTTAGGGTAACCTAAGAATAGATCTACTACTGGCCTTAATTGGACACCCACATATCCTAGGCCTTGTCTGGGACAATGAGGCCGACTTGACCCTGGCACTGCCCGGCACTCATCCTCGAATCGGGTCAGCTAGTCCACAATTGTTCATAGTGCATACCTGGAGACCCAAGGATGACTGAGAACGGGTGAGAGGGTCCAGGAGGCCCTCACCTTCGGAACTGGTGCAATGTCACTGTTGCTGCAGCCCATTGACCAAAGTGAGTCATGTGGTCAGCCCAGAGCCCAGGCAGCAGGGCAGTCGATCACCCCTCCTGATGGGAGCAGCGGCAAAGCCACATGGCAACAGAAGGGAGAGAACACAGGGCCTCCTGAGTTTTGTTTGTCTTGCTTTGGCCATCAGTCTATCACAAAACGGAATTTCCCTTCACTCACATGGATAAGTCCGGAGCTGGGCAACTGGAACGATGTCAGAATTTGAGGTGGTCAACTGGTCTTTACCTCACCGCCACACACCGGCTGCACTCTCTCCAAGCATCAGACCCCCCACATATCCATATCCCCAAACCCATGGGAGCGTGGGTCTTAGCTTCAGGAAACCTGTTGAAGAGCCAGCAGGCGTTAAGGCAGGGTGTAGCTGCCGGTTGTGCCCTGAGGAAACTGGGAGCCAGCCAGAGATGGGACAGATTGATTGCAGAGGCCACTCCTTATGCAGGGCAGCCACTGGACAAGGACAACCCTGAGGGCCAAACGCCTGGGCAGTGCCTACACTGACCGTGTCCCTCGCTGCCCCTCTTCTCAGGGAGCGCATCCTGTCAGGCAAGCTAGTGCGCCGAGCGGAGAAGCGTCTCAAAGAAGTGGTGATTCAGGTGGAGGAGGAGCGGCGAGTGGCTGACCAGCTTCGGGACCAGGTAAGCGATGACCTTCATCAGGGAACTCTGGGGAGAGGGGCGGTCACTGACCAATAAATAGCCTGCACCATCTATGGAGGTGGTGAGCTCTCCAGCACAAGAGGCAGCAAACAGGTGCCAGACCAAAACCAAGGGCAAACAACATACTTCCATAGGCTGTGCACCTGCAGTAGTAGCTGGGCAATGACTTTCCAGGCTGGAATCTAGAAAGGAGCCTAGCTTGGGGTCAATGCGACCACCATGAGGGAAGACATTAAATTCTACCCAGAGGCTTGACCAAGGCTAAAATGACAAGATAGATATTGAAAGATTGCCCCATGCCTGGCGCTGTGCAGAAGACCTATCTCTTGATGTATAGACTCCCATCACAGCTCTGTAAGGTCTGCACGTTTATTTCCCATATGACTGATGTAAGGAAACGGAGGCAAAGGGAGGTGAACTCACTTGCTCAAAATTATTTAAATAGGAAAGAGTGGAGCCAGGATCCCAACTCTAGCGCTGTGGCTCCAGAGCCTGTGTCTGTACATTTTTATTGAGCCGAACCACTCCGGCCCAACCACTGTACTAACTGCTTGTTCAAAAATATGTGCACGCAGCTCTCCATGTACTGTGTCACAAATGGGGAGATGAAAACTTTAGGAGAAAGAATTTTCTCAAAGTAAGTAGGTTTCAGAACCGGGATACGTGATCAGACACAGCACAGCTGTGGCCTTAAAAGCTCAGCCGCATTTCAGTCACAATTCGTGAAGAGCCACGACATGCGAGGAGTGTTCGAGGCCAGTGACACAGAGGACTGGGAATGAGACAGGGTCAGTCTCTGCCTTAGTGGGTTCACATTTTCAACATGAGTAAAAACGCAACGTGGAAACTGATGGTAGCAATTGTGCACTACTGCTTGAAGTGAATGAATTATGGAATGATATATGTATTACTTTCAATTACTAAATTTAAGTAACTAAATACAAGAATAAAGAACAGCCCGATTAAAAAAGAAAAGGAATAAGAGTGTGACGAGGACTGTGAAAAAAATGCGTGAAGGGAGGAAGAGACACAGGATTGAGGGGCCATCTTCAGCCTGGGAGGCTAGAAGACCGCTCGGAGAAGGTGACACCTGAGCCCAGACCTGAAGGGTGAGAGGAAGCGGGCAGAGGGAACAGCAGAGTTAAAGACGAGTTTAGAGCAAGAAGCCGACCAAAGTGGCTCAAGAGAATGGGACGGGACATTGAATTTTAAGGAGCCAGATTAGATGTGTCTCCTCCCTGAGAGAGACGGTGGGTGGTACAGCCAGGGAATAGTCTATGGAAAGTTATTCGGGTTGGGGTTTATGGGGAGAAGAGAAATAAATGGTCAAGGCCTAGAGTCTTGCTCGTGGGAGCCAGGGGAGAGCTTAAGTCGGCAGGGGAGGGGTTAGCGCTGGCCATCCAGACCCTCAGCGACCTTGTGGATTGGGACAGGCTGAGGAGGACCATCCCTCTCCACGGCCCCACGCAGAGCACGGGGGTCAGGAGCAACCAAAGATGCGGGTCAGCTTGAGGTGCCTGGCACCATCCTTGGTACCGCTGTGCCTCGGATGAGTAAGATCTGAGCAGAGAACAGAGGACAAGGACGGGGCGGGGCAGAGTCGGGGTGCAGGGGGAACCCAGCCAGGAGGCAGGCATCCCTGTCCTGACCCCTCCCCGCGTCTCCCCAAGCTGGAGAAGGGGAACCTCCGCGTGAAGCAGCTGAAGCGGCAGCTGGAGGAGGCCGAGGACGAGGCCTCGCGGGCTCAGGCCGGCCGCCGGCGGCTGCAGCGGGAGCTGGAGGACGTGACCGAGTCCGCCGAGTCCATGAACCGAGAGGTGACCACGCTGAGGAACCGGCTCCGGTACGGCTGTCCCTGAACAAGTCCCACCCTGCAAGGGGGCCGCCCCCTCTTTCCACAGACCCAGGACCACCAGAAACTGAGGGCCCACTGAGTGGCACGT